TGACTGCGCGAGCCTGCGCTGCCGCGCGGCGCCGCTCACGACCTCGGGCTCGGAGCCCCCGCTGTCGGAGGAGCCGACGCTCTCTGGCACTCCCCGCGCGGGCTCCGCCGGCACAGGCAGCTTCGCCAGGTCCTCCATCCTCTGCCCCAGGCTCCGTGGCAGGGGACGGCCCAAAACGGCCGCCCTCAAGCGCCTCGACTCGCCCAGCTGACGCTCCCGCCGAGCCACCAGCAACGGCGGAGGCTCTATCGGCGGAGCAGGGATTAGCTGCCGGCCGCGCCGCGCCCCCTGGCTGCCCGCCGGCGCCTGCGGGCCGGGCTCCGGCCGAGGCGGCGCCAGCTGGCGGGAGCGCCGGCGAGGGCTCCGAGAGCGGCCACGCACGCCCGGTGCTCGGGGGCGCGCGGGCGGCATCGCGGGCTGCGGCGCTCCCGGGCGCGCGCTCGGGCGCGGGCCAAGCGGGGCCCCGCCCTGGGCCCACTCGTGAAAGCTCGAGCTCCAACAACTCAGCCAGAAGAGTGGACTTTGCGCCGTCGGGGTCAAACAGCCGTGAGGGGAGGTCGGCACAGTTGAGCTCGCTGGGTATCCATCGAATCAAACAGCGGATAATACGGCTCAGACAGACTGCGTGAAATCGACGAATCTGGATCAACAGGTTGAAACACGAACATCTGCCTCGATTGAAGCTTAGCACGACCGACATATTGTCGCATAGCAGGAGCTGTCGTATGTGGGGCCCGAAGACCGTGGTGGCGATACGATGGATGCTGCTGACCAGGGCCCGGGCCTCCAGGGTGAGGATGACTTCGGGGTGCTGCCAGGCTCTAGCGAAACAGGGCTCCCACAAGCTTGCGCGGAGCCCCTGGGCGGGCACTTCTGGAAAGTCCCCCAGAACGTCCCACTGGCTCAGCTCCTCCTCATCCTCGGGGAGGCCCTTGAGTTCCCACTTTCCACTCTCGCTCGTACCGAAGCCGGCGGCACAGAGCGCGGCCTCCCGAGCGCTGTGCGCGCAGCGCCAGCGAAGGCGGGCCCGCTCAGGCACGCGCCCGACCGACTCCACCAGCTCCCGCGGCCAGAAGGCCCTTGCCAGTCCGTAGCCGTGGAGGCTGGCATCCGACTGCTGCACCGTCGGGTTCCAAGGCAGCCACCAGTCTGACTCCAAAAAGTACATCAGGGAGCTGAAGGCGGCCAGCTCTCGCCGGGCCTCGGCCCATAGCACGGCCGCGTCGTCGTAGTGCGCCCGCACGAAGCCATGCACTGAATTGAGAGCCGACAGGGCGCCGCGCGAGCAGAGGCCGCAGAAGGTCAGATGGCCCAGCGCGGCTTCTACAGCCCAGCCCTTGACTCGGCGGCGGGCAAGAAGGCCCCGCACGGCCTGGCGGCAGCGCCAGAACCGATCACCGGTCATCACCCGGGTGCGCAGCCGCCCGCCGTCGATCGGTACCGAGCGCCACCGCCATGCCCGACGCCAGCTCGTCCTTGTGCAACAGCAGGTTCAGCTCGGTGAACTCGCCGGTCAGCTGGTCCATCACGCCGCTCACGAGCTGGGAGAAGAGCGAGAACACCCCCAGGTTGACGACGTAGACGTAGTGCCTGATCTCCTGGGGCGCCCTGTCAGGCACGAACACGAGCGGCGGCCCATGGTCCGAGAGACCAGGCTCCCTCAGGAGCGGGCTGCCGCGGCGGCTGACCTCCTCGTTGGCCCGCTGGGCAAAATAGAGCGACCAGCTGATGCCCATGGGCAGCACCTGCCAGCACGGGTAGATCGCCGTCGACGCCTGCACCTTGGCCCCCTCGACCTCGGATACGCCGAAGGCCCCCGCCTTGACAGGAGGCAGGCAGAAGTACCGCGAGAGAGCTGCGTCGATCCGCACTCGGCGAAAACAGTCCTTCACGTCCGCCATGCCGATGTACACCTGCTGCGCCTCCAGCGCGGCGCGGAGGTCTTCGTAGCTCGAGAGCCCCTCCTCAGGCAGGTGCACCTCGATCCTGGCAAGGCCCTCGCTGCTTAAAAGCTCCACCCCATGGGGGGTCCCTGAAGTGGGCGCTCGCACGGCGGGCGTCGACTATGAGGCGAAGTCGCCGTCGCCAATCCTTCCACACAAAAAAACATCCCGATTCTCTCCTTCGGTGATAGAGTCCACCCCAGCATGCCAGCCGACAGCAGCCGGCGCACCAGGCCGCGGTACTCTTAGTGGTTGAACTTGAGGACCGAGTCGAAATACGGCTCGACGTCGGTCGGCAAAGGTGCTGGTCGTAGCATGCGCTCTTGGCGCTCCTGCAGGAAGGCAAGGGCCTCGCCAGGCAGCAGATCCCCGAGACGTGGGCAGTCCCTCACGGCCGTCGGCATGCTGACAAGCCCTGCACTGTAGGAGGCGACCGTCGTCGGGCCGCTGCGCCCGTCATAGGGCGAGCGGCCCCGCAGCAGCTCCCGGAGGGCCGCCTGCGGCTCGTGCAACTTGGCGTCCGGCTGCCGGCCCCGAACGAGGCCCTCGAAGCGCGCAAGTACATCGCGCTGCATGCCATTGGCCGGGCCTGGCTGCGACTTGTTCCCCGACATCCAGTTGATGGCGTCGACGATCCCGTTAACCTCACTCACGATCCGAGCCTCCCGCCCGAAATGCCTGGCCCGGCAAGACCTGCCGCGAATTCGGCGGCCTGTGTCACCCAACAGCGGGAGCGGCAGGAAACTGCGGGCTCCGCGCGAGGGCGGCAGGCGGCCACCGTCGTGCCCCGGCAAAAAGGGCCCGGGGGAGGGGCTGGAGCCCCCGGGCCCGGGGGCCGTCATGGCCCCGCGGAGGCGACGCCCCTGGCCCGGCCGCGTCCGCGGCCGCCTCGGCCGCCACCACGCCCCGCGCCAGCCGCGTCACCTCCAGCTCCTTCTGCTCCCTCGACTGCCCCAGGAGGCGCCCCGCGCGGCGTCCGCGCCCGGCTCTGCGCCTGCCCCATCTCGTGCTGCTCCTTCGCCCGCCGGTGGACGTAGCCCCTGAGCTTGGGCCCCGAGACGTCCTCCTCCGAGCTCACGCCCTCGAAGAAACGCGCAATCGTCCCGCTCGGCTCGGACGGGTCCGCGCAGGCGTCCACCGCCGCCACCGCGCGGCGTGTCAGCCCCTACCATCATCAGGCCGCCCATGTTCAGCTGGTCGTAGACCCCGCATTGACACAGGGCCTCCACGATGGTCCCGCGATCTCCTTGGACGAGCCTCTTCATGCGGACGAAGACGTCGAGCCAGAGCCGAGGGTCGTCTCCACGCCTCTCCACGTGCTTGCTCATGTGGAGAGCCCCGGGCGGCCCGTCCACCTTCGCGTCGGGGTAGCCCACCTGACACGACTCGCCCACGACGACTGACCACCGCTTGAACCATTCTCCCTGCTCGTCGTAGTCGACCCAGAGAGTTCGAGCGTCATTCAGAACGCCGAACGGCACGACCCCGTCCTCGAAGCTCACGACGTATGCATTCGCCACGTCCACCTCCGTCCCGATCGCGATGCCCGGCCCACCGTTTAGGGCGATCCAGGCCTGGCCTGCCCTTGGGGCCTCCAGCCGCCGCCCGCCCATCTGGGCCATGGCCGAGCCAAGGCGCAGCGAGCGGGCACGCTCCCCGGCCGACAGCCTGCCGGCGGCCTCCTGCCAGGTGACCTGTTGGCCGTCAGCGGCCAAGGCATCCCACGGCTCGGGCAGGGTGGCGTCCCGCTCGAGCGCCGTCTCACGACCGCGCCGCGGCGCGTCGGCCAGCTCGTCGGGTCACAGTCGCTCCCGGAAGCGGTACAGCCTCCTCTTCCTGCGAGTCCGCAGCGTCAAGGGGAGGGCCCGCGAGGGCCTGCTCTCTGGGTCGCGGCAGCTCAGGTCCTCAGCGTAGATGTCCACGTCCGGGGTCAGGATAAACCACTGTCCGCTTCCCAGGTAGTGCGTCAGCACCAGCTCGTGGTCAACGTCCTCGTCGGCGAAGCGGCAGTCCACGCGCTCGCCTGGGAGCGCGTCGCCGCGGAGCCACGCCACGAGTGCCGCCATGCCGGCGGCCGACGATCTTCGCCACCAGCCAGTGCACCAGGCCGCCAGGCAGCGCCCCCACCAGCCTCTCCACAGCCTTCTCCCCGGCCGTCGGCTCAGGGCACGCCCGAGCCTCGCAGGCCGGGCAGGCCGCGCACGGCGGCGGCTCGCACGCCGGGCACGCCGCGCACGGCGGCGGCTCGCAGGCTGGGCAGGCGGCGCAGACCGCCGGCTCCGGGCAGGCCGCGCACGCCGCCGCCTCCGGGCACGCCGGGCAGGCAGGGCACGAGAGGTCTGGGCAGCTCGGCTGCCCCCGGCCCCAGCCCGGCGCAAAGAACGCCGCGGCCTCCAGAGCCAGCACTGCCCAGGCCGGCAACGCGGCCGCCCCGCCAGGGATGGCGACCGCGGCCATCAGCCTCGGGACCAGAGAAGCTATGTGATGCAAGAAAGAGCGGAGCCAAAGGGGCGACAGCTTGAAAACCCCCTGTTGACTTCCTTCACGTGCAAGCACAAACCAGGCTCTCGCCTTAAGAGTTTCAAGGGTTCCCAAGGTCAACGTACCAGAAATGGTGTTTTGGAAGGATTCAGGATTGACAGCTATGTTTTGGCATGCGTCAGGGTCTTCAAACGGTTGTCTTCCAACGAGGCAATTCCCTCATTGGAAATGAACCGTTGTAGGGACCTATGAAGAGGGAGCTTGGAGGGAGGGTTTAATCCAACAGCGTTGATAACTATTGGGCTTACACTGGTCCTCCTCCGCCTCCTCCTCCTCCACCTTCTTCTCTCCTCTCCTCTCCTCTCCTCCTCCTCCTCCTCCTCCTCCTCCTCCTCCTCCTCCTCCTCCTCCTCTTCCTCCTCCTCCTGATCTTCCTGGCCATCCTCCCCCAAGTGTTCCCCGAAAGTTTTCCACAACGGTTGGGGAAACATATGGTCCGATAGCTTGGCAGAGCTCTTGCCACAGCGCTCGGCCACATAGGCGCTTCCAAAAAGGCAGGGGGCGGCGGTGATTCGCCGTAGGCGTCTTCGATAGCATCTGAAACTTCCTCCTAGCTTGAACCCGTTTTACGGCGGCTGCAAGCTGCATTCCCTTAACCCATCCGGCACATCGAGTTGCTTGGGCGAAGAGGAACGAAGCGGAGAACGAGGATGAGAGAGAAAAAAAACGCCGGCTGTTCAGCCAGCCGCCAGCTGGCCTGCCCAAGATGGATGGGTCTTTCGCCCACACAATCTTGGACTTGGACATACTGCCGACGCATATCCGGCGCAGGACTGGTTCGCTCCAGCGGAAGAACCTTACACTGGCAAACGGACGCAGACACCAACGCTGCACAATGAGACACGTGGCCGGCACGACACGACAAAGAAACCTTCCCCGCATTCTGTAGGCGAACAAACAGTGGCATAAACATAACAACTCGGAGGTCCGCGCGGATTTCTCGGATCGGCGCACGGCACGGCACGCGGGCGCACGGCACGCGGGCGCACGCCTCCTTCGCGCTCCGAGAAGCGACGGCACGGCACGGCAGGACGCGGCACACGGGGCACGGCACGCCGCGGCACAGCACGCGGGCCGCAACTCTTCCGCGGCCCCGATCCGCCGCTGTGCCTCCGGACATGCAGTGGCCGCGTCGTCGGGTCCTTTGCCTAAGTAATTCTCTAGGCCTCAATCCTCGCCCCTGAGGGGTACTCTGAGGGGCCCGCACCCGAAATCCCACCAGCCCTCTGGGCGTCGGTGGTTTAGGGCGTTTCCTCTTCCACCCCTCCCTCTTCCCCTTCGGGGAGGGGTTTACCCCTCCCCCTACCCCCTCCCCACTGACCTGGACAGGAGGGGCGGGGAGCGGTCAGAGCGTCCAAAACGGCCTCGGCGAGGAAGCCAAAATCATTGATCGTACTATGGTTTTGGCCCCCATTTTGGCCTTATGAGGGGGCAGCGCTAATTAGAGCTCCCCTCTTCTTTCATCGATTTCCTCCACGATGGCCGCAAGAGGCCCCCAGGATGCCCCAAGAGGCCCCGAGATGGCCCCAAGATGGCCCCATGTGGCCCCAAGAAGCTCCCAAGAGGCCCCCAGGATGCCCCCAAGAGGCTCCCAAGAGACCCCCACGAGGCCCCAAGAGACCCCCCAGAGGCACCCAAGACGCTCCAAGAGGCCTCGGCGAGAATGCCCAAATCATTGATTTTACTAAGGTTTTGGCCACATTTGGGCCTCCTGGGGGGGGTGGCACTGCTTCAGATGACTCCAAGAGCGCCTGGGAGAGCCCAAGATGACCTCCAAGATGGCTCAAGATATCCCAAGATGCCTCAAGATGGCTCCCACGATGCTCCAAGAGGCCCCAAGACCGCTTCAGGACGGCTCCAAGTGGCCAAAGAGCTCCCCCAGGAGGCCCCGAAGAGGCCAAAATCCTTCCAAAACCTTCGGAAAATCAACATTTTGGGCTTTCTCGCCTTTTCGCTTCCGATGGCCATCCGAGGCTTCAAGATGACTCCAAGATGGCCCAAGAGGGCTCCAAGAGCGCTCTGAAGGCTCCCAAGAGCGCTTCAAGAGGGCCCCACGAGGCGCCCATGAGGCCCCAGGAGGCCCCAACAAGCGCCCCAGAGGCCTCCAAGAGGCCCCCAAGAGACCCCCAAGAGGCCCCAAGAAGCTCTCCAAAGCACCCAAGACGCTCTACGAGGCGTCCGGGACCGCCAAGAGGCCCCTAAGACGCTCCAACCGGCCTCCACTGGGGTACCCTTCCTTTGTGTGCTGCCCACTTCCCTGATCGAGGCACTTCCTCTGGGCATCGTTTCTGGATGGGCTGGTGGGGTTACGCGAAGCGTCTAGAATTCTCAGGTCTCCCGGAGCCTCCCGCGTGCCCCTTGGGGGCTGCCCGCGTGCCCCCCTGGGATTCGCCAAGTGGTGTCGCGTGACTTCTGCGAGCCATGAGTTGGAGGCCCGGAAATGGGCACCAATACCAAGACAGGGGGGTTGCCTCCACATGGGAAAGATGATGCTAGATTTCGGTGTTGGTGGTAATATTTCGGTCACCTTGGAAGCCAGAATATTACCACCATCATCGAGATCGGGATCTTCTTCCCTCAGTGGAGGCACACCGCCGACATTGGTGTTGGTGTCAACCTCTAGGCCTGCGAATGAGGGCCCCAAGAGGCCCCGCAGGCGGTCCAAGAAGGCCCCGTGTCGCCGAGCGACCGCTCGAAGACGGCCAAAATGGCCTCCACATTGCCCCAGAGGTCTCCAAGACGCCCCAAGAGGCCTCCAAGAGGTCTCCCAAGAGGGCCCCCAGAGGCCAAAAAATCACTGATTCCCCAAAACTTTTGAAGGAGTTTGGCGTTCTCGCCGTTTCAGCTTCCCGACGCTCCCAGACGGCCCTAAAGCCCCCCAAGAACGCCCCAAGCAATCCAAGAGGCCTCCAAGAGAACCCCAATACGGCCCAAGAGGGCCCCAAGACAGCACAAGAGGTGCCCCAAACGGCCCAAGAGGGCCCCAAGACGGACCCAAAAGAGGCCCAAGAGAGGGAACACGAACCGAAAATCCTAGCCTTCCGCCGCAAGCGGCCCCCAGGAGGCCAAAGGGGCCCCCAGGAGGCCCCACGAGGCCCCAAAGAGGCCCAAAAGAGGCCCCAAGAGGCCCCAAAACGCCCGCCAAGAGGCGTCCAAACTGCCTCCAAGGGGCCCCCGAGAGGCCTCCCACGAGATCCCAACGAACATTCAATCGGCTTCACGCCCACAACCCAGGCACGGTGGCGGGATGTGCCGAAAGCCATCCGCCGCCCCCTGTCGATTCATCGCAGGGGTGCCTGGCGTGCTAGATGATTTCGGTTCTGGTTTGGTTTCTTTTTCCAAAAGAACTCCCCCGGGGGCTCCAGCGCGTCCCGCCGGGGTCCCGGGAGGAGGTGGTTGCCAACGGTTTTCCTGCCCCAGACGGCCCCAAGATGGCCCAAGATGGCTTCCAAGACGGCAAAGACGGTCCCAATATGCCTCCAAGACGGCCCAATATGCACCCAAGACGGCCAAAGCTAGCCTCAAGATGGCCTAAGACGGCGTAAGAAGCCCCGAAGAGGCTTCCCAGACGCTCCGAGGGCCCAAAGAGGCCAAAATCATTGATGTTCCGAATGTTACCTAACAGCTTTTGCTGATAGGTTTCTAGTGGGCTCAAAAGAGAACAGCATCTTGACGCCCCAAGGGGGGTCTGGGCGGGATCCGGACAGATCCGGACAAGGAACCGGACAAATCCAGGAATCTTTCAGATCCTTTTTGAATGCCCGGAGCCAACTGTAGGCCACTTCGTGTTCTTCGTGTTCCCAAAACACAATTCTCAGGCCTCATTTTGAATGCCCGGAGCCAGCTGTAGGCCACTTCGTGTCCTTCGTCTTCCCAAAACACCATTCCCAGGCCACATTTTGAATGCCCGGAGCCAACTGTAGGCCACTTCGTGTTCTTCGTGTTCCCAGAACACAATTCCCAGGCCACATTTTGAATGCCCGGAGCCAACTGTAATGTAGGCCACTTCGTGTTCTTCGTGCTGCCAGAACACCACTCCCAGGCAACATTTTGATTGCCCGGAGCCAACTGTAAGCAACTTCGTGTTCTTCGTGTTCCCAGAACACAATTCCCAGAACATATCTTGAATGCCCGAGCTGAAGCAGGCTGAGGCCGAGGCAGGCTGAGGCCGAGGCAGGCTGAGGCTGAGGCTGAGGCACGCCGAGGCAAGCTGAGGTTGAGGCCGAGGCAGGCTGAGGCTGAGACAGGCTGAGGCTGAGGCTGACGCAGGCTGGGGCCGAGGCAGGCTGAGGCTGATGCTGAGGCAGGCTGAGGCTGAGGCAGGCTGAGACTGAGGCTGAGGCAGGCTGAGGCTGAGGCTGAGGCTGATGCAGGCTGAGGCTGAGAGGCTGACGCTGAGGCTGAGGCAGGCTGAGGCTGAGGCTGAGGCCGAGGCAGGCTGAGGCTGAGGCTGAGGCAAGCCGAGGCAGGCTGAGGCTGAGGCTGAAGCTGCAGGCAGGCTGAGGCCGAGGCTGTGGCTGAGATGAGGCAAGCTGCGGCTGAGGCAGGCTGAGGCTGAGGCTGATGCAGGCTGAGGCTGAGGCTGAGGCAGGCTGAGGCTGAGGCTGAGGCTGAGGCTGAGGCTGAGGCCGAGGCAGGCTGAGGCTGAGGCCGAGGCAAGCCGAGGCAGGCTGAGGCTGAGGCTGAGGCAAGCCGAGGCAGGCTGAGGCTGAGACAGCCTGAGGCTGCGGCTGAGGCAGGCTGAGGCTGAGGCAGGCTGAGGCTGAGGCCAAGGCAGGCACAGGCCGAGACAGGCTGAGGCTGAGACTGAGACTGAGGCTGAGGCTGAGGCCGAGGCAGGCCGAGGCTGAGACAAGGTGAAGCTGAATGCGGGGGGGGGGAAGGGGGAAGGGGGGGGGGAGGGGAGGCTGAGGCAGGCTGAGGCCGAGGCAGGCTGAGGCCGAGGCAGGCTGAGGCTGAGGCTGAGGCCGAGGCAGGCTAAGGCTGAGGCTGAGGCAAGCCGAGGCAGGCTGGGGCTGATGCTGAGGCTCTCACCTGAATCGTAAGGGGAATGCTTCCAGATATGCTTATACACATCGCTGTTAGGCTGCTTTGCTGGGATATGTTTTACCTAGCAGCTTTTGCTGATAGGCTTCTAGTGGGATCAAAAGACAGCATCTTGACGCCCCAGGGGGGTCTGGGCGGGATCCGGACGGATCCGCACAAGGAACCGGGCAAAAGTGCAGCCCCAGGAATCCTTATAAATCCTTAGGAATTCTTAGGAATCCATTCCCAGAACACCATTCCCAGGCCACATTTTGAATGCCCAGAACCAACTGTAGGCCACTTCGTGTTCTTCGTGTTCCCAGAACACCATTCCCAGGCAACATTTTGAATGCCCGGAGCCAACTGTCGGCCACTTCGTGTCCTTCGTCTTCCCAGAACACCATTCCCAGCCCACATCTTGAATGCCCGGAGGCAACTGTAGGCCATTTCGTGTCCTTCGTCTTCCCAGAACGCAATTCCCAGGCTACATTTTGAATGCCAGGCCACATTTTGAATGCCCGGGGCCAACTGTAGGCCACTTCGTGTTCTTCGTGTTTCCGGAACACCAATTCTGTGCCATACTTTGAATGCCCGAGCTGAGGCAGGCTGAGGCCGAGGCTGAGGCTGAGGCCGAGGCAGGCTGAGGCTGAGGCTGTGGCACGCCGAGGCAGGCGGAGGCTGAGGCTGAGGCAGGCTGAGGCTGAGGCAGGCTGCGGCTGAGGCTGACGCAGGCTGAGGCCGAGGCAGGCTGAAGCTCAGGCTGAGGCAGGCTGAGGCTGAGGCAGGCTGAGACTGAGGCTGAGGCAGGCTGAGGCTGAGGCTGAAGCTGATGCAGGCTGAGGCTGAGAGGCTGACGCTGAGGCTGAGACAGGCTGAGGCTGAGGCTGAGGCCG